GTATTTATTAAGTATTTTCAAACTAAACACTAACTTAATATTATAAAAAATGCATTTGTAAAAATTAAAATATATATATTCACACACCACACACACACACACACACACACACACACACACACACACACACACACACACACACACACACACACACACACACACACACACACACACACACACACACACACATTGGCGTTCATTTAAAATTTTTAAAAACAAATGTATAACTTAAGTAATTTTTTTTCCAATTAATTATGCAGTTGATAGTTTTTTATTTATTATTAAAAAAACATATTTATTATAATTATTATAAAAACATTAAGTTACTAAAATTTAAAACGCATTTTCAATGACTTTAAAAGAAACAATGCTAATACTTTCTTCAATAGCGTTACTTTTAAGTTTAATAATTAAGTACGCAACTGAAGAAAGTAATTATGTTTTAGCATGGTTTTTACATGTGTTTACAAAAACATGGGAAATTTTAGTTAAAAGGAATGTATTTGCAATTACTTTTAAAAAGACCATGCTAAAATATTGCTTTCTTTAAAAGTGTGCGATATTTTTTATTTTTTTATTATCGTTAAATTAAACTAATGTTTGCTTGCCCTTTTTTTTATGTTTTGAAATTTTTTTTAAGATTTGTAGAAATATATGAGTGGGTCAGAAGCCAAGGGGTACAAGTGACAATTTTACCAAAATTAAGTTAAGTATAGAATCTGATAGAAGAAGCAAACAAAATTGTTGGTGGCCAAGGGATACAAGTGAATCTCTGCCCTGTGCTGCTTTCTACTGGAAAAACATAACAGCTGAGTATATTTAACAAAAATACTTTAACTTTAAACAGCTGTATATCAAAACTATGAAAATGTCACTTGTACCCCTTGGCTTCTGACCCACTCATATATAATTTAATAGAATATGTAAGTATTATTATGTTTATTATAGTTTTCTTTTTTTACTGTATGTTTAACAACACCAATAATATGATATTTTTTTATTAAATACTTTATATGTTAAATATAATAATATCATACAAAGTATTTAATAATAACTTAATATAATAACTAATTAAATACTTATTATTGTATTATTATTTTTAAATGGTATAAAAAAGAAATGTTAAAACAACTTTTATTTTATTTTTAGTTCACTTTTATTTAAATTTCTTCAAGTTTTTATATAATTAAATAAATTTGACAAACTAAATTATGAAAAATTCACTATTTTGTATTAATGAAAAACAACTTACGGCAAGGCCTTTGTTATAAAAAGCCTAGACACTGTGCTGTAAATATTTTGACTGAATTTAAAAAAAAAATGTTGGATAAGTAAAAGTTATATAGCTTTGGTAAGATTAAACATGCAAATAGTTTACAGTCTGTTTGAAAAAGTTCTTAATTTCTTATTGCAAAAATAGTTTATTGAGGTTGATTAACAAAATTTTAATAACTTTTAATTGAGATTTTCAATTTAAAAGAAATCATAAGTAATGTAAAAAAAGAAAAGAAATTTTTTTTTTTTTTTTTTGTGATAAATAGAAAAAAAAGTTTACATAAACTTAATTTCTTTGATTTTAGTTTCTTTATTACTTTTGGGAGTGTAATAAATGTAAACTGTTGAATCAGAAATGTTCTGCAAACTCTTTTATCTGATTATATATATATATATATATATATATATATATATATATATATATATATATATATATATATATATATATATATATATATATATATATATATATATATATATATATATATATATATATATATATATATATATATATATATATATATATATATATATATAATATATATATTTATATTTATATATATTATTATTATTATTATTTCAATTTATTTGCATTTAAATAAAAATACAAAAAGGTGATACAGGTAATTGGAGAATTACCTTTTTACAATGGTTCCTAGTAGTAATAAACAGACGTCTGTTTTCTGGAGAATTGTTTAGCTGATAGATATGGAAGTAATGGTTTCGATTGGCAATTACAGCAGCACAATGTGAGGAAAACCATGGAGAAGAGTGAGGCTTGACCTGGAATCGTTGAGAGGGAAAAAAGGATTCAATGCTAGCCTGAATCCATGAAGTTATGTGAAAAGCACTTTTGTCAACAGAAAGGTGAAAGATTTCTGACCAAGGGCCATCACAAAGAAAATCACGGAAAGAGTCCCAGTTAGCTTTTAGGTAGTTGTAAGATGTATGATGATAGGGGGGTTCTGATGGTAAAGAAGAATGAGATATAGTTTTAGAGAGACCAAACCATGATCGGAGGCACCTAAGGGTAAGTGTGGAGAGAAGGTAAATGATATGGGTTGTCTGGAAAGCGAGTTGGAAAATTGACTATTTGAGTTAGGGATTGAGAAAGACAAAAGTTGTGGGCCTTAATGCCTGCAGAGTCACTGACACTAGAGCCAAGCCATTCAGTGTGATGAACATTAAAGTCACCAACAACAACAATATTGGCTGATGGATAAAGAATGAGGGCTTGGTCAATATAATCAGAAATAACATCAAGAAGAGTACAGTCTTGAGATGAAGGAGAGCGATATAGAACAAAGAGAAAGGTGATAGAGTAAATTGGTGCTAAACGAAAGCACATAAAAGAGTAGTCTGTGGATTTAAACCTAGTTTCCCGACAAATGGGTGAATTCTTACAAATGTAAATGCCCAGGCCAAGCATGTGACTATTGGAGTCTTTACGAGTTAAAGGAAGATAACCATCAACACTAAGATCACAAGATGAGACAGCTGAACTCAAATTAGCAAGTAGGTCTGGTGAACTTTGCAAGAAATAAGACTCAATAGAAGCAAAGTTACTTTGAAGACCACGAATATTGGTGAATGATAGGTTTAGCGAACTTGGTGATGACTGTGGTTTTTTGTGTTTTATAGTTTTTGTTATTTTATTCATTTTTAAATTTGTTAAAGAACTTGACTCGAAACATAGATAGTACTCAGTACACTGTTTTATAGCCCAAGCAATTGCCTCATTTCCACTAATAAACCCTCAGCTGTAACAAAGGGCTCCAATGTGGCCTTGGCAATGCACACTAAAAATACAAACAGGAACACCATCCATGCGCAACATGGCACTGTTAGTACTCTGATATTTTTCAGCTGTTGATGGAATCAGCCTCTCTGAGAGTCCACAGAGTTTGGGTAACCTGACTACCAGCCAGCCTAAGAAACATCAAACTGAGTTTTAGAGCTGTACCCTCATTTGGAGATAATAGAATGAGTTGCCTAGTCATAAAAAGAGAGACACAAGCAAAACCCATGCATTGAGTCAAGAAGATCCAGCGTTCAACATCCTAAACTGGAAACAATGTATTAAAAATACATCTGCGCCAGCCTAATAGATGAAGAAGGGGTTCGAGGCTGGTCAACAGATAGAATCTGTTTACCCCTTAATATATATATATATATATATATATATATATATATATATATATATATATATATATATATATATATATATATATATATATATATATATATATATATATATATATATATATATATATATATATATATATATATATATATATATATATATATATATATATATATGTATATATATACAGGCTTTCACAGGAAGACGTGCGATTTCACGTCTTTATATAACCACGCAAGTTACATTTTGGTATAACGGTTTGACCGCGGCTAATTCAAAAAACATTTTAGAAACGCGCTAAATAAAAAATATTCAAAAAAAGTGAAGTTAATTACATCAAAACTTCTTAACAAATGTTTTTATATTAGCGAAACGATTTTAAATAAAGTAACAATTTACTGAAAAAAATCAATTATATTTAAAAAAGTTTTGTTTTTTTAAATATAATTGACAGTTGTATATATTTTTTTAATTTAAAACATATAAATTGTTTAAGTGTTTATTTCTAAAATAAATCTTATTAAAAAATAAAAAATTGTTTTGTTTTTATAAACGATGACATTCTACGACTACGAAAGTCTCCTTAACGAATTTAAATATAAGAATGATTAAAGTTAATTTAAAAAGATAAACAAAACTGCGTTAAAAAAAAAGTTTTAGAAAATCGTTACAATTTAATAAGTTTGATCTTAAATGCTTTTATATTATCGAAACGCTTTTAATGAAGTAAAAAAAAAACACTTCTAAATAATTTAAAAAAAAGTATTTATAAAATGTTTTTTTATTTTATTTATATAACTATGTATTTTTTATGAGAAATATTTAATTTTTGAACATATTAAACAAATAAAAAATATATAAAAATGTTGAAACAAAAATTGAAAAGGTTTTTTAATGCGTAAATTAAATAGACTAAGCATTTTAGTTTGATGATTTTTGTTTTAGTTGCGTTATATATATATATATATATATATATATATTTATTTTTTTGTGTTTTTGCTTTAACTTAGTATTTTTTTTTATTTTCTCTTTTGTTATTATTTATTATTTTTAAAAATTTTTTTTTAGATAAGTTTAGGTAAGTTTTTGTAGCGCGTTTTTAAATTATAAAAATATGCCGTGGTCAAATCGTTAAAACTTTTTTTTTTTTTCGTGGTCATATCTTTCACAGGAAGATATATATATATATATATATATATATATATATATATATATATATATATATATATGTTTTATATATATATATATATGTTTTATATATATATATATATTATATATATATATATATATATATATATATATATATATATATATATATATATATATATATATATATATATATATATATATATATATATATATATATATATATATATATATATATATATATATATATATATATATACCCCTTGATGGTTCTGTCTGACACCAAACTATTCCAAACAACAAACTATTCCATTAGACACCAAAGTGTCAGATGGAGTAGTTATTCCTACTGATTTTAAAGTGTTTAAATAAGTAATTTTCATAATATGTTATTGTATCATCTCCAATTTCTTCAGTGGAATACTTTTGAACATAA